CCTTCTCAACAACACACTTAGGTATATAGGTACCATTATATTTTATGAGGCAACTGGCATTATGCCTTCAATCGCTACATTTAAATGGCTGAGATGTGTGCAATTTGCAGTGTTATACACAAATGATGCTAAAAGGTCAGTTGTATGGTTGAGTACGGCATGTTGGGCAACTTAAAAAATAAAAAAAACTGGGCAAAGGACACCGCTGTATACAGTATACACCCTTAAACCATATTCCGGGCGGGCTCTGAAAGGTAAGATTCCGGGCAGGCAGGGCAGGCTTATCAGCCCCCCGTTATTTCTCGAAAACCACGCATCGACGCAGCAAACGGCGTTTGATAGGTCGGTCAAAGAGCTACAACTTTTAAATAAAAATGCGTCAGGTCAATATTGAGGTCACCAGAGGTCATAAAAATAAAATGTTATTGAAATAGTAACCTAAGTATAGTAGATAAAACTTTTGAATAAAGACATAAAATTGACACCATTGTGCTTCTCTTGTCGAGGCGATTCGAAACAAATACTTGATGACCTTCATTAAGGCCAATTTAAAACTTGACCTCTGGTGGGGGAGAGGTCATGACCCAATAGGGGCGGGGTTGATACGTCACGTTGTATAGCAAACGACGCGTGACTTGGCAAGGCAAGCAGTTTGGTGCCACTTACATGTCTTTAGCGCCAATTTATCATGGTTTATTGACAAGCAACTATTGATGACCTCGCACGAACTCAGATGACCTTTTCCTGTCTCTGTCAGTAAATGATACCTGGATCGTCATAGATGATTCAATATGTCAAAATCCTGAAAGACTTGAGTGGTTTTGACTCGTTTCCACAAAGCGGTGCGCATTTCAAATTTATCCATAGGCTTGTAATGTAAAGATAATGAATCTGACCTGACCTTACCTCAGGTCATAGATATACAAATTCTGAGATATACAAAATGGACATAACGGTAGGTCATTGGGGGACCCACCCATAAGTTAAGGTCATAAGGCCAAAGTGGGTCTTAATTTCATTAAAGGTGACCCATAAGATAACAAAATGCTAAAACTGAGCTGAAAACCATTTGGGATTGAGAGACTCTTCAAGCTTTGGCCTATTGACAATACACTAAGAGGTCATGACCATAAAATGTCTTTGAATGACCTAGTTAGGCGCGGGAACCGGGGGGGCTAGCGGGGGCTGAGCCCCTCCAACTTTTCGGCTGGGGGGCTCATTATGTATTTGAGCCCCCCCCCCTCCTCACAGCTGGAGGAATCAAAATCGGAAATCTACCAACATAATTTCATAGATTCATACAGAGGCACAGGAACCGGGGGAGGGGGCAGTGAGGGAAGCTTGCCCCCACAACTCTGGGGCCGTGGGAGCAGTGCCCCACAACTTTTCATGAGACCAGGAACTATTAGGGCAGCTTGTCCTCCCCAAATTAGGGGTAAAGTTAGAAGGGCTCAGCCCCCGCTAGCCCCCGGTTCCCGCGCCCGGCGCCACTGCCCAAAACCTACACTTATAAACATGGTGTTTTCCCCTAAACTGGATTCAGATTGGGATCCTGAACACAAGTACATACTTCAAACAGGTTAGTGCACAATGTAGGGCAGCCCTGCATTTTGTTGAATTGATCCGGAGCCAGAGTACCTACATCATTAATTGACCCCGAGGCCTGAGATCTTGTAAAGAAATAGCAAGTAGCGGCTAGCCACATTTCAAGGGTAGTCGTAAAGCAGGCGTAACACTTCTTTTAGCAACCAAGGAGAGGTGCTGTAGGTTAGGTTGTAGGTTGTAGGTTTTAGGTGGTAGGTTTTAGGTTTTAGGTTGTAGGTTTTAGGTTGTAGGTTTTAGGTTGTAGGTTTTAGGTTGTAGGTTGTACTGGTTAGGTCAGGTTTGGTTAGGTTTGGTTAGGTCTATTTTGGTTTGGTTTGATTAGAAAGCATCTCTGGGTATAGTGACCATCCGGCCCCGCTCCTTGGTTGCAAAAAGAAGTTGAAGTGTGACGCCTGCAAGTCCGGCCCAAACAATCGCATGGCAAATCGGTACTCTGCAATACCAGTATCCAACAAATAGATGTCTACAAATAATTTCCACTTACCTCACAGACTTCAAAAAGCTCCCAGCACAAAAAAAAACACAAATTAGTACCACCCAAAGCTTTATCTCTTCCAAATCCCAACACTGACACCGCCACGTGGTGAGCCGTGCCGCGCCGATAACACCGCAACAAAAAACAGTGTTGTTGCAACTACACAAAACTTCATCATACTCTAATTCACGGGTTTCTAAGATACATAATATAATTAATTTATTTTTACACTTTTTTAAAAATAAAACAAACGTCTATTTTGATCGCTTCACATTCCACAGACCACACTATAAATCATATCATGTTACGTTTTTGCTGCATGCCCGCGCTAGCCCGCGCTGATCAAGGCGTGCGTTTCCGAGCTTCAACACAGAGCCAGCCGATGGTGGCGCCGTCTGTGGCAGATATTGGAACTACGAACCATCAAATTTTTTAGTTTAGAGATAGATGGCGCCTAAGGTGGACAATTTTTGAGTCCACCGAAACAGACTTGTTCTTTCGGATACGTTTACGTCCAGCTAAAAGGTGTTCTGTGCGTTTATTTTTACGTGGACTTTTTGGGTCCACCAAAACAGAATGTCCACAGTAAATCAGAAAAAAATCTTGAAAAGTCCACCTAAACCAGAATTTGGAAAGCATTGTCGCCACGTGTCCTCTGGTATTTCACACGCCAACGACACTTATTTAGCCGGATGATAGACAAGGACTGTAGGAGAGCGATGGGTAGATCAGGATGGTGAGGAAGACGCCAGCCGCTGCCCGATTCCAGCCTCTCGATGGCGAGACCACTGTAATCGGACAGATCAACTGATACTCCGGCGCCTCGATGGCAAGGTTAGCCGGAGCCGACTGGTCGCACCCCTGTCTGAGCGGAGACCCCGCACCCGAGCCTCGATGGCAAGACCCGGGGAACGAGTTTAAGCTCAGTGACTCGATGGCGAGACACTGTGGCCGCCTCCCTCACACACCCCGGAAGAGGCCGTGTTATGAGTCCCGGATGAAAGGAAATGATCGGCTACTCGCACGCTGAGAAGACTCGCTGCTGTTCACTGTCGCGTCCCCTTTTCCACTGGTCCAGCTCCTCTCCACACCAGTTAAGATATTTTCACTTGCTGTATTGTGCACCACCACCACACCACAGCCAGAGCACCACTTCCACCCACACAGCGAGCACTTCCCCGCCGAGCATCCAGAACGAACTCCGACTCGAGCCCCGTGCGCCGACCCGAGGTCACCTCGCCGGCGCCCCGAGGGCAGGAGCCCACACAACCAATCACGGGGCCGCTTACAATGAGCCAGCTTAGTGCCGGCATAGCCCCGAGCGCCACGTGGTCGGCCGGCCGCCACATGGCCCGCTCAGTGGTCCGGGCGGCCCGGCCTGCAGCCGCCGGTGCTAACATCCCCCCGCACCGTGTTGCACTGCAGGGCAACACTCACGAAAGGTAACCGGCGTGCTGCCGTACACATCGCGTCGCTAACACATATAAACCATTTCACATTCCAACAAATACGATGCTATTTCTTGAAACACCAGCAAGTATAACATGAAATAGAAAAAATAAAAACACTTCCACTTCGTTAAGCAAAGATTAATGATGGGGATCAGTGGTATATCCCCACCGACGCACCAAGGCGACTGGCGACGTCGTCGCTGCTAGACGAATCGCTGCCGCCCAAGCAGAAACCGCCACATCCGAGGAAGCTACCACCCGAGCTGGTGTAGCCGAGGAGGTAGCCGCCACCCGTGCTGAGGCGGCCGAGGAGGCCACCGCCGCCTGCGCCGAGGCCGCTGCAGCGCTCGCGGAGGCTAATGCCTCCCACGTTGGAGATGGAGAGACGCTGGAGAGCCTCCAGACTCAGAGGACCCTTGGTCCTCTAGTGCTTGATAGCGATTTGTCAGGATCGTGTAATTCCCGCTGGTTTATCTCACGGTTGCGGAGATGCCTATGTTTTTGTCTCTCCCAGCCCCTCGATGGCGAGGCCACTGGGAGTAGACGGATGGGTCGATGGTGTTCGGCCTCTCGTTGGCGAGGTGACCTGGGCGTCACTTGATTCCGACGCCAAAGTCACTGACAGTCCTCTTCTAGGAAGCATAGCTTGATTGCAGGTCTGGTGTAGATTCTCCCGCCAGAGGTTCTCAGTTCAGCAGACCTCACTATGCCGTCTTCTCCAGGAAATACTCTTGTGATACGAGCCAATGGCCACGACCCCCTGGGCATATTTGTGTCTGTCATGAGAACCAGATCCCCCACACGTAGGTTTCTGGTTTCTCGGTGCCACTTGCTTCTGCGCGACAAAGTAGGCACGTATTCTCGCGTCCATCTCCGCCACACGTGCTCAGCGACTGCTTGAGCTTGTCTCCAACGCCGACGACTGCTCAAGTCTCCGTTTCTTGTCAGAGCTGGCGCTAGATGATGAGAAGCGTGACCCAACAGAAAGTGATTGGGTGTGAGCGCCTCGGCGTCAGTTGGGTCGGAGCTTACGTAGGTAAGCGGCCGACTGTTCACCATGTGTTCAACTTCTGCAAACACGGTCAGCAGAACTTCGTCCGTCAATACCTGTGAGCCGACTACAACTTGCAGGCACGTCTTTACAGATCTGACCATGCGCTCCCACACCCCACCCATGTGGCTTGCGGCTGGTGGATTGAAGCGCCAGTCAATTTCGTAGGAACTCAGTTTCTCTGGCATCTGCGCCAGAACCCCTCGGAGCTCTTGACGAAGCTCACGGTTGCTGCCGACGAAGTTTGTCCCACGGTCTGAGAAGATGACTTCCGGCTGCGATCTGCGAGCAAAGAATCTTCTGAGGGCCATGATACAACTGTCTGTATCTAATGAGTGGGCCACTTCTAGATGTACAGCTCGCATCGCCAGACAAGTCACCAACAGTCCGTATCGGGTCTCCGTTTTCCTGAATCTTTTCACATGCAGCGGCCCGAAGAAGTCGACACCAGCGTTTCGAAATGGCCGTCCAGCTTCGAGTCTCTCCCGAGGGAGATCAGCCATCCGCGGTGGCACAGGGGCGGCCCTGCGACGGCGACAGAAGGAGCAGTCACGAAGCTGCGCCTTGATGGCTGAGCGTCCTTGCGGAATCCAGTACTTCTGGCGCACCAAGTTCAGCGTGTGCTCAGCTCCTGCATGACCATGACGAGTGTGTTCGTGCTTGATGACAAGCCGAGCCAGCTCACTTTGCCGTGGAAGGATGATTGGGTGTTTGGCTTCCTCCGAGATGCATGCCTTGCCGATGCGTCCCCCGACTCTGACCAGGCCGTCCTCGTCCTGAAACGGGGCCAGAGGAAGCAGAGAACTGGACGAAAGCAGCGGCCGTTGCTGCGTCAGACAGCGCACTTCTTCAGCGTAGGACTGCGCCTGTTCCCTGGCAACGGCCCACACCTCCGCTGCTTGCAGTTCCGAACGTGAGAGTGGTCCGGTGGCCTTCGGCAGCTGCCCTGAAAGACACGCCTTCATGTTGCGCGTAAAGCGCATCGTCCATCCAACGACTCGCTTGAACTTCCCCCAGGATGAAAACCTCGCTGGAATCGGTTCCTCTGATGTGCACTTGGTAGTCGTGAATACCAGCGCGTCCCGCATCTCTTCATCCTGTGCCAGCTGGACTAGCTCCTCTTGAGGTGGCCACTGGCTGACGTCCTCCCTCAAGAAGGTGGGACCCGTCAGCCACCTGCCGTCCTGACTGAGCATGAGCACCGAAACCCCTCTGGAACAGTCGTCAGCGGGGTTGAGCTTCCCAGGAACGTGGAGCCAGCACGCGTTGTGGGTCAGCTCGTGAATCTCAGCCAGTCGGTTGGCCACGAAGGTCTTGAACCGTCGGGTTTCATTACCAAGGTACTGCTGAACGACCTTGCTGTCCGTCCAGCAGAAGATGTCATCCGGCGGCTGAGTGATCTCACCGAGGACGGTAGCCACCAGACGCGCTCCAAGAACGGCTGCTTGCAGCTCCAGACGGACAATTGATAGTCGCTTCAGTGGAGCGACTCGGCACTTGCCGATCAGGAAGCGACAGTGGTGTAACCCATCGCTCGAAGTTGTCCTCCAGTATGCCACAGCGCCGAACGCACTCTCTGACGCATCGCAGAACACATGAAGTTGGCGTCGCAGTGTCCCTGGGCCGCTGGGGTTCACGCAGCGTTGCATCACGACTTCGTTCAGCTTCTCTGCTTCACTCAGCCACTCCAACCATTGGCTCAGCTCAGGTTCGGGTAGTGGCTCGTCCCACTCCAGATGTTTCCACCAGAGTCGCTGCATCATCATCTTTGCTCTCACGGTAACAGGAGCAGCAATCCCCAGAGGGTCAAAGATTGTTGACACTTTGCTGAGCACACCACGCTTGGTTGCACTCACTTCTTTGGCTTGGAGACGAAAGCCCAATGTGTCCTCGTCTTCCTCCCATGCGATGCCCAGCGTCTTTTCAGCGGTGTGCGAGCTCCTGAGACATAGGCTCGCAGAGGCGCTGGCTTTCTCACTCTCTGGAACGCCTTTCAGCACAGCGGGGGAACTGCTTCTCCACTTCGTGAGGTGAAAACCTCCTCTCTCCAGTGCCTCCTTCACGTCAGCGTACAGCTGTTTGGCGGCGTCCTCCGTCATGCAAGAGAACAGGCAATCGTCCATGTAGAGCGACTTTGCCAGTTGCTCGGGACTTCTGCTGAGAACCTTGTCTGTCTCCGCTCCATGGTCCAGAAGTGCTTTTCTCAGCACGTAGTTGGCCGTTGCCGGTGATGACTTCGCGCCAAAGATGACCACCTCCATCTGATAGACGTCAGGCTTGCGGTGTCGCTCCATATCTCGCCATAGAAAGTTCGATGCAGACTGGTCTTCTGTCCGGATCCTCACCTGATGATACATCTGCTTGATGTCTGCTGTCACAGCGATCAGACCTTCCCTGAAGCGCATGATCACCCCAGGAAGGCTTTGTAGTAGATCTGGACCTGTGATGAGCTTCGAGTTCAGTGATACACCTTGGTATGTTGCCGCAGCGTCAAAAACGATTCTCAGCTTCCCCGGCTTGTTCGGATTCACTACTGCGTGGTGTGGCAGATACCAACGCTTCTCCTTCGGTTCGTCCGCTTCTTCTGCTGAGAGCTTCCTTGCGTGACCATCCTTCACATATCCGTCGATGATGGCTTGGTACCTTGTAGCCAGTTCTGGCTGCTTGTCGAGTTTCCTCTCGATGGGCTGAAGACGTCGGTACGCTTGGTTCCAGTTGTCCGGCAACATCGGTTCGTCTTCATCCCACAGAAGTCCAGCTTCATATCTGTCCCCCACCTTCCTGGTCTGCTGATCCAAGATTCGCATAGCTCTGAGATCTTCTTGAGATCGTGCATCAGAGCTGTTGATCATGGTGCCGATGGCCTCGGTCGTCCACCAGTCTTGGACCAACTCTTGCAGACCCTCCAGAGTGTCTTCGGGAGCACGTTGACGCACGAACATGACTTGCCGCATTGTGCTTGGAATCAGGGTGGATATCGATCCCGTCAGGGTCCAGCCAAAGTCTGTCCGGATAGCGACGGGCATTCCGGGGCCTCCCACCCTGACCTCTCGCTGCAGCACAGCTTCCAGAATGTTGGCACCAAGTAGAAGCTCGACGTGTGCGCCGTTGTACTGCTGTAGGTCCAGGTCCTGCAAGTGCTTCCAGCTGCGAAGCTGCGTGCTACTCACGCTGGGTGGGGCCACGTTCAAGCTTGGCACAGACCACACCTCGGGCACGACGATTCGATTTCTGCTGGTCGCTGTGCTCAGAGGACTGACCGTCAGCTGAACTCGAAGAGACGACTGTCTGGTACCATTTCCTTCGATGTTCTGTAGCTGCAGATTCTCTCGGACTCCAGGGACCCCAATCTCTTCCAAGACATCTTCACAGCAGAGCGATGTCTGCGCTCCCGGGTCCAGCAGTGCTACTACGTCTCTCTCCCCGTTTGGGCCGTGAATCCGCACCGGCACCAACTGCAGCAGTGTGTCTGTCGTCTCTGTGAGAGCCGTGCCGACGATGCGACTTCCTTCTCGTGCCACTGTTTTTGGTTCTGTTTGGCTTTCTTCATTACAAGCGGCGCTTCTGTCCACATGTATGAGTCGGTGATGAGATGCATTACATCCATTCAAGTTGCATCGTCTTGCAGAGCGGCAATCCCTCATGAAGTGACCCTTGTTCAGGCAGCCCCAACACAGCCGTTCCTTGCTCACTACGACCAGCCTCTCCTCCACCGTCTTCGACTTGAACTCTGTGCAATCCTGAAGCTTGTGCTGTTCCTTGCACAGGACACAGAACCAGCGACGTCGGTTGTTTTCCGTCTGGGAAGACGTGGCCGACGTAGTCAGAGTTGTTCGTCGCGCCGAGGTCTCCCGTGCACTCGCGGATGGCCCTTTTCTTTCTGGATCGCGGTTATGGTTGGCCGAGTTTCTCAAGATGGCAGTCTCTGTCTCCAGCCACTTGCTGAAGATCTCCAGATCGGGCTGCTTGGGATGCATCTGATGCACTTCTCGTCCCCACTGGTAGGACAACTCCGCAGGAAGCTTCAATACCACTCGACGCAGATTCTTGATGGCTCTCAGATCATTGTAGTGGTTCAGAGCGCGCAGCGTCAGCACAGTGTTGCTGACAGCTGAACTGAACCTCTCCACTGAGGCGATGTTGTTGATTGAAGGAGCTGGGGTCGCAAACATGGAACTGAGATATGCTTGACTGATGTCGCCTTCTCGACCGAAACGCTCGTGCAGCCTTGCCAACGCCTGGTGATACACCTTGCCATCGAACAAGAATCCCTCGATGGCTTGATGGGCGACTCCATCTACTGCTTGCTGTAGATGCGCCATCCGCTCCGTGTCAGAGAGAGATGCCTGATCGTGAACCAGTGCTCTGAAGAGACTGATCCAGCGCGGCCACTCACTTGGTTCGCCTGTGAACCGCGGCAAATTAAGACGTGGAACACTGTTGGTAAAAGCTGACATCCCAGGAGGGGGATGCCCATGCTTCTCCTGCCCTTTGCTGTTTGATGGCCAGTTGTCTGGGTTCAGAGATGAACCATCCACCTCCACTTCCGGAGCAGCTTTAGGTCCTTGTGGTCTTGGACCAGGCACATAGTCGGGTACGCTCGTGCGATGCGGTGGTTCGGCAGCTTGATCACCTTCAGCAGATGCCTTTCTTCCTTTGACAGCTGCTTCGTCGAAATCATGCCGACGATCCCAGTTCAATTCGTCTTCCGCAGCCTGATACATGTGTAACTTCCGAGCAGCTCTGTCGCGGGCCTCTTCAGCTATTCTGAGCTGTAGCACCCTGTCGCGTTCATCTAATTCCTGTCTTTCTTTCATGTTCCGACGACTCTCTTCCACTTGAGCTTGGAGGTCCCGCAGCTTGCGATCAGCGTCCTCCAGTTCCACAGCAGCCTCTCTGGATCGGACTGAAACTGCGGTGCCTGCTGACGTGTGTGACTTGGCACGACTTCGAGTGTGACGGGAAGTGGCAGCTGATGACTTGGCTTCATCCAACTCTTGAAGGTACAGCTGGATCTTCCCCCGAATAGCCGACTCTTCTTCTTCAAGATTATCAGCGTATCCCTGAGCTTCCTCCAGTTCTGCGTCATTGAGTTTGGTTTCATACTCCTGATGAACTTTTCTCAAATCAGAAAAAGCTTCTTTCAGCCTTCCGTTTACCTCCTGGATGCGATCGCGGTTCCGCTGTCTTGCTATCTCTGCCTCTAACACCTTGGACACCCTCGTCACGACAGCCCTTTTGATACCACGCAGTCGTCGCAGATCAGCAAGCTCTTGATCCCTAACATCCTTAAAAGCTCCATCTGCAGTGGGATCGGGCCGTTTGACATCCTTTGCCTCTTCTTTTTCTATCCCCATCTTCTCCTGTTCAGCTCACTGGTCACAATCCGGCCCGGAGGACCAGAAATGTCGCCACGTGTCCTCTGGTATTTCACACGCCAACGACACTTATTTAGCCGGATGATAGACAAGGACTGTAGGAGAGCGATGGGTAGATCAGGATGGTGAGGAAGACGCCAGCCGCTGCCCGATTCCAGCCTCTCGATGGCGAGACCACTGTAATCGGACAGATCAACTGATACTCCGGCGCCTCGATGGCAAGGTTAGCCGGAGCCGACTGGTCGCACCCCTGTCTGAGCGGAGACCCCGCACCCGAGCCTCGATGGCAAGACCCGGGGAACGAGTTTAGGCTCAGTGACTCGATGGCGAGACACTGTGGCCGCCTCCCTCACACACCCCGGAAGAGGCCGTGTTATGAGTCCCGGATGAAAGGAAATGATCGGCTACTCGCACGCTGAGAAGACTCGCTGCTGTTCACTGTCGCGTCCCCTTTTCCACTGGTCCAGCTCCTCTCCACACCAGTTAAGATATTTTCACTTGCTGTATTGTGCACCACCACCACACCACAGCCAGAGCACCACTTCCACCCACACAGCGAGCACTTCCCCGCCGAGCATCCAGAACGAACTCCGACTCGAGCCCCGTGCGCCGACCCGAGGTCACCTCGCCGGCGCCCCGAGGGCAGGAGCCCACACAACCAATCACGGGGCCGCTTACAATGAGCCAGCTTAGTGCCGGCATAGCCCCGAGCGCCACGTGGTCGGCCGGCCGCCACATGGCCCGCTCAGTGGTCCGGGCGGCCCGGCCTGCAGCCGCCGGTGCTAACAAGCATACATGTGCTCGTTTATCCTACATATGCAGGAATTTCCAAGGATATTTTATATTGCATGAATCTCGCTGTTCTAAGAGACTAATCTATATCTGTCCGCTTGGCGCTTTTAGTTTCTAAGCTGGGAAAGAGGAACATTTTTATCATATGACAACGCGAAACGCCGTGGTTGGATGAATTGGTCCATTTGGGAAGAACAGAAAGGTAAATGGTATTTGGCAGCGGGTGAAAGAAATACATTTTTAATGCTAGAATGCCATTTGCCTTTTTCGAAAATTCAGCAAATTAGTGAATAATTCGAAAATGTGATGTAAAGTGAAAACCATTGACTAAATTGTTAGAGAGCGAGAGAGAGAGAGAGAGAGAGAGAGAGAGAGAGAGAGAGAGAGAGAGAGAGAGAGAGAGAGAGAGAGAGAGAGAGAGAGAGAGAGAGAGAGAGAGAGAGAGAGAGAGAGATTCCTGTATTGACAGACTCTTAGTCCATATCTAGGCTAGTATGGCAAGGGAGATGATCACTTGAACAGAACAGTATAAGTAAGCCAAACTTTCCTTACAAAAAACAAGCACGCTAGGCTAGGTATATACAACAATCTTTTCTCTAAATGCATACATACTTACCATGTCTATTTGGCTTCCAAGTTCCAATTGATCTTCAGTCGGGATATCCGGTAAACTTACCACCATTTTGAATTGCAAGATATTTTGCTGAAATATCATGGTAGTCAATTGCTAGTGCTGTTGGTCAATCAAAGCATGAGACACATTAGGATATTCTTCCAAGCCGATCATCACGCTTAAATACCAACAAAAGGTTATACCAAAGTGCAGTTCCGGTATACTCAAGCACCACTCTTCTATTTTGCTTTCATATCATCAGTATCTAGAGCCTTAGCCGAATATCCAGGTCATGCATTGCTGCACTTCCACCTACCCACATATTCAGCTCAGCGCCGTCTCGCAAGTCCCAGGTCGGTGTTCACTCGACCGGCACCATTTCCCTCCCGTCAGAATCTGACCTGGTTGGGCAGATTTCATCGGGTCGCTGTCTGTGGGTGGCGTTCGTGGGTGTGAGGAGGTGTGAAACACGACGGGGGTGAGATCAGCAGAAACGTCGTCATCGATCCTG